AGGCCAAGCCAAGGTGGCCTCGAGACGACACACACGAGCCCCCCCCAGGACGGCCCAGGAGTGCCTCGAGAGAGCCGCCGAGAGAGGCCCATAGGAGTGGAGATTTGCCACAGTCCCTTGGGGAACGCGCACATGCTTGGCATACAGTAGGAGCTCGGGCCACAGAAACCTCTCACAAGAAACCATACCCTGAGACCCCAGGACGTCCACTGCTTTTTTGAGTGGGGATGTCGAGCGTCCCATAGCAACGCCATCGAAACCCAAGACACCCAGGGCACCCTGGAGGCAAGCAGGGTGTGTCCTGGCATGGGTTTCCACTGTACTCGCCTGTTGCGTTTGGGCAGCGTCCGAGACGGCCGACAAAAACGGCCCGCAGAGACCGTCCCCCGAGGAGAGCCGTGGGGCCCCTCACGCGAGAGACCCGAGAGACGGCTTCAGCTGGCCCGAAGACGGCCTCCCGGGGGCTCCCAAGAGAGGCCCAAGAGAGGCCCTCTTGGGCCCCAAAAGGGGCCCAACAGAGCGAATGCGAACCGTCAATTCGAGCCTTTCCCCGAGATGACCCAAAGCAACCTGGAGGCCCCCGAGGCGCCCCCAAGAGGCGCCAAGAGGCCTCCAAGAAGCCCCCAGTAGGGCCCCCACGAGGCCCCCGAGAAGCTCAAGAAAGCCCCCCAGGCGCCACGATGCGCCCTCCAAGCTGCCCCTGAGAGCATCCCAAGAGCCCTTCCTAAGCATCTGTCAACGCGCCGCTTGGCCCACCTCACTCCTTCCACGAGATCCGCAGCAGACTCTCACTGCATCCCCACACCCCGTGGACGCCCCCAGGTGGCCGCCGCGGGACCCCGACAACGCCCCGAAGCGGCTCCCAGAACGCTGTACGGCTACCTCTCACAGCCTGCCCTGAGCCTTGCCCACAAACTCCCACAGGCATGGACGCGGAGACCGCCGACACACAGTTGCAAGGGTCAGACCTCGCGCGACATGATCGGCCCCAGCCTTCCCCATTGATCTCTACTCCTCCAGAGCCCTGAATCCTCGCTCGAGACTTCCCCACATCCCCAGCTCGAGAGGGGGGTATCGTGGACCTCCTCGCTGGAGGTGGCCCCAGTGGTGGTGGGGGTGTCGCATCTCCTGGGAATCGCGTGTCTGGGCCCTGCCCCATGGGGCCTCACAAAAAACACCACAGGACAACGTGTGTATATAAACAACTTGTCTGACCCGTCCTCCGGGCCACGGGTGACGACGAAAATATCGATGCGCTCTGCTTGGGCCGCCATCTGCAGCTGCGCGGTGGACAAGCATGGGATAGTACAGTGGACATGCTTCCTGGCCAAGACCTCCTTCCCCTGGTCCTGGGCCCCACCCACACCCCTTGCCTGATGTCGGGCCTGTCCCCCTACACGAGGATTTTCGACGAAAAATAAAAAATACTCCAGAAGTTAGTTAAAAAACTGAAAAATAGTCTGGGGACTACTTTTTATATGTTTTTTGCTTTTGGGGGGGGTATTTTTGGACAATTCTTGATTTGTCGTCGAAAATCACCCTGTAGGGGGACACGCCCGCCTTAACCCTTGCCGCGAGGCCCCCGAGCCTGCAGTGCGCCAGGTCCGAGGCCAGGCCGTCCGCCAGCTGCCTCAGGGCGCCCCGCGGCACGTCCGGGCACCGGGCCACGAAGGGCTCCGACGCCGCCGCCTCCGGGTCCTGGCGCGCGCGCAGCGACGCAGGTGTGGCGCGCGAACGAGGCGGCAGCGGCAGCGGCGCCTGAGCCACTCTCGGGGCGGGCGAAAGGGGGGGATAGCAAAGGGGGGGGGGATGAGAATCAGCTCACGTAGCTGAGCTTCCTGGCGCCGGAGGCGGCCATGTATCGAGGAATGGGCCCCTCGGTGGAGCCGAAACCAGCTGCATGCAGCAAATTTCGTAACCCCCCCTTTCCCAATCCCCCCTTTCGTCCGGCCCGACACTTGTGGCTCCGACGCCGCATCGCTGGGTCCTGCCGCGCGCAGCAGACAGCGGGGACGGCGCGCATCTGCGCAACAGGGAACGACGAACAACTGCACGAGGGCAAACTTGCAGGAGGTCCGCGCGGGTGTTCCTCGGAGCGGAGCTGGAGACCCCAGGCGGCGTCTCGAGCACCACCCCTGGAGCGCCCCGCGCGCCAGAAAGGGGGTCCAGCACCGATCCAAGAGGTGTCTGCCGATCCAAGAGATCAGCGCGCACCTCCGCTTCATGCTCACGACTCTGATGTTTTGTTTCCCTAGTGGTAAGTCGGGCGTGTCCCCCTACAGGGAGATCTTGGACGAAAAAAACAACATTTTCAAAAAAAATACTCAAAAGATACCAAAAAATAGTCAAGCAATAGTCCCCAGACCATTGTTGGACTATTTTTGGACATTCCCCCTGTAGAGGGACACGCCCGACTCAACCCAGGTGCTCGGCCGCGGCCTCGCCAGGCCTGGCTGGAGCCTTTCGCGACGGAGCGCAGCCAGGTCGACGAGCGAGGCGCTACCGAGAGTGCGGGCGCGAGAGCCCGACGACGTGAGGAAACTGCTCGGGTCGGGCGAAAGGGGGGGATAGCAAGGGGGGTTTGAGAATCAGCTCACGTAGCTGATTTCCCTGGCGCCGGAGGCGGCCATGTATCGAGGACTGGGCCCCTCGGAGGGGCCGAAACCAGCTGCATGCAGCAAATTTCGTAACCCCTCCTTTGCCAATCCCCCCCTTTCGTCCGGCCCAAACTGCGCGGTGCCCGCACTGTCGTTGTTACCCGCGGCGGCTTGGGCCCAGGACGCGGCCGGGGCAGCGGGGGACACACCATAGCCCGAAGGGCGCCACCAGGGCACGGACGAGGCGACGAAGAGGGGGAGAGGCAGCCCCGGGCGGCGGACCACGCTCATGGCACCTGTGGCTCTTGTGCGTGCGTGCCAGAGCACAGGCTTACAAGGGAAACTGCAAAGGACGCGTAAGCACGCCAGGGCGTGTCCCCCGTCCCCCTACAGGAGGATTTTGGGCGAAAAATAAAACATACTCAGAAAATACTCGAAAGATGCCCCAAAATAGTCAAGAAATAGTCGCCAGACTAATTTTTGACTATTTTTGGATATTCCCCGGGCGCTAGATCTGGGGGGACTCCCGGAGCGCCTCGGCTGGCGCCAGCGCCCCTCGCTTGTCTGCTCTTGAGGCGGCGAACCAGGCCGAGATGCTGAAGGCTGATGTGATGACAACCCTAAAGTCAAGCCGCCTGTCCAATCAGGACGCACGACACAGTCGGACTTGATTGGAGAGGACACGCGAGAGGACAAAAGACCCTTTCCGAGGGGCACACTGCCATAGGAATGCAGGAGGCATGGGTCCGGAGACACAGGACACAACGGTACCCTTGAACTGGCAGTGTCGACCTGCTAATCCGGGGCGACTGTAAGGATGCAAGGGCCTTGGAAGGCCATGTCGACCCTTTGCGTGTGGGGCGCGGCCCGCGAAAGCGGCCGGGGATGGGCCCAAGGGGCAAGGAATCAAGGGTCACTTTGGAAAGTCGCTAATCCTTACTGTGCGGCTCGACTGTAGGCATAAGCATAAACTTACGGAGGTCCGTGCGGATTGAACGGATCGGCGCTGGAGGAGCCCCAAAGGGGGCTCCAGCGCAGATCCCGGAAATCCACGCGTACGTTCAAAAGTGTATGTTTACGCAGTAGCTTCTGCTTCTTCCTCTACTTATTATTCTCCTTGTTTTTCTTCTTCGACGTGGGGTAAAGGAAAGAGGCGGTGGAGGAAGCAGGGGTGAAGGTGGGGGAGACCGCAGTCCAACAGGGGCGGCCCTCCTGCGGGCTGGGTGCACCGCCGCTGCTCCTCAAGGAGCACGATTGCCTTCCCGCCGTGCACAAGTTCGATGGATCAGGGTCGCGTCGCCCCGCCCTGGGAAACCTGGCTACGCTCTCTCCCTGCGAGCGTTCGACACGATGAGGCTGCGCAGTCAAAGAGCCAAACACTCGGGCGGTGAGGAAGGACAGGATGAGCAGCAGCAGGAGGAGGAGGAGGAGGAGGAGGAGGAGGAGTCAGGTCAGGCCATGCACGAGCAGCAATATGGCTCTAACGCTGTCCTGCGCAAACCGAGCCGATCGACTAAGCACCGTGGGGTCGGCCTGCCACTGAATCGAGGCCGCCCGCCTGCAGCAAGCAATCAAAGCAGCTTTGTCGGAGACAAGTTCCCGTTGCCGACTACGCAACGAGCCGCTTACAAAACAATCCATCAACGACACGCGCTGCATCACACCAGGGCGAGAGTGTTGTCTGATGTCGGGACTACAAGCGCGTGCCAAAACATCGTGTGCCGAACACGATCCTTGCTGACATTCAAATCCTCCCCGTCGACGCTTCCTGGGTGACGTCTCGCCCCCTCCGCCCTTGCGTCCAATTCCCCCCAGACCCCTTAAGCCCCCTCCCCCCCCCTCGCGGAGCGCCCACACTTCTTGCCCCGGTTGGCGCCGTCGAAAGCTCCAGCCTTGACGAGACTGTAGGTCGTGAAGGCAGCGATGTTTCCGCCGATGTCGCCGGCCATCACGGTGCCCCAGCCGCTGAAGGGGAGGGTCTCGAGGCCAACCATGACGGCGATGCCGATAGTGGCGTCCTTGTTGAAGTTGGAAGCGAAGGCGGCGTGCGTCGCGGAAAACAACTGGACGAAGAAGTACGCGAGCACGTTGTAGCACACCGCGAAGGCACCAGGCAAGAGCCGCAGGCCAAGCACCTCAGACGCGTGCTGGGCCACCGTCTTCGTGAGCTGCCGATCGGTCATCATGGCGCCAGGCCGCTCGGTCGGGCGGGGCATGAAGAAGACGGGTACCAGCATCATCAGTGCCGACAGAGAGGCGCCATGCACAGCGCCGTGTCTGTTGAAATCAGCTTCAGGCTGGTGCCAATCAGGCCCGCTAGCGCCATGTTCAGCGAGGCAGAGGCGAGGGAGGCCAGGCAAACGATTACACCCAAGACGACGTTGGACCCAGCCACTGGGCCAGCACTGGCCTTGGAAAGCTGGGCATTGCTCACCACGGCCAGGTCAGCGCACGCGATGCCCAGGAAAAAATCATCGAGACCCCGATCACAGTGATGTCTTCGGCGCTGTTGCCAGTCGCCTGATTCATTGCGGTCTCGCAGAAGAAGGTCGAGGTCGGGGAACAAGATCGCATGATGAGGTTGACCGACAGAGGTAGCAACGACAGCCTGAAGATATTGAGAACGATGCTCGGAGCGAAGGTGACTGAAAAGGCCACCACCGTCAGCCGGCCGAACTTCGTGTCGACGATGACTGGTTTGTAGCGCCACGGCGAAAACCACAGGATGGCAATTCCCAACATGATAATGGCGAAACTCGGTATCTGCTGAATGCCCGTGATGGCGAAGTCGGCTGGGTATCCCTTGAGATGCGGCCTCCTGGAGACGATGCTGCCTGAAAGGACGACCTTCCTGTGAAGGTTCATGAACGTCTGCACCCGAAAGAAGTTGTGCTGAGCGTCCCTCTCCGACCGCATCAGCGGTAGCCCCATCAGGACGGCCGCGAAGGGAACGACCATCTGCCTCCAGAGCGACGCGGCGCTTTCGAAGCAGGCGTCGATCTCTGGGCAGAAGGCCCTCATCCCCGCCTGGGCCTCCAGCTGCTGCACCTCCGCCTGCAGCCTCTGATGCTCCGCCGAGCCTCTCTTACGGGGCCACCTCGGAGCTCGGTCCTTGAGCTACGGGGTATGCCCCCTGCCAGCCCTGGTGAGACGGCAGGGCCGTAGCACAACAGATCGCAAGGGATTTTGGCAGCAGCGCGTAGGTCGCCTGGCTCCTACCCGGGCCTCGGCAGCTCTAACCTCAGACGGCAGCCGGCCGTCACCCCGGCCTTCCCTTGGACATCGCAGCGGAAGAGGCCGAAGGCCACCCTGGACGAGTGCAGCGGACCCTGAGCAGCCGTTCGCTGCCTCCCTGGTGATCGGGCCCTGGTTCGGCGCCCCTGCCCCGCCAGGTCCCCCTGGGATCCGTGTCGAGGGTCGGTGATGTCTGTCCCCACCGCCCCTCTCCTCGGGTCCCTCCTGGGCGGGGCTGCTGCCGGGTTCACTTGCCCCTGGATCGCGAGGTGGACGTTCTTTATGTCCCCTTCTCTCGCCAGGTGTCCCTGGGGAGCCCGTCGGCGTGGAGGGCCGGTGATGTCTGTCCCCACCGTCCCTCCCCTCCGGTCTCTCCCGGGCTGGGCAGCTGCCAGGCTCGCAGACCCCTGGATGCAGCCCCTCCCTGGATTCCCCTGCCTCGCTGGCGATGCTCACCACGCCAGCCTGGCTTTCTCCTACAATCCATCTGGCGTCGGCTATGTGCCGGTGTTGGAGGGGCTGGCCCACTGACGTCCGGGCCTCCCTCGGGCACGGGACGATGGCCCCTTGGGTACTGTGGTCGCGCCGGAGTGGTTTAGCCTTCTGCAGTCGCAACAGCACCCTGGACCCATCCCCCTCTTCAGACAGGTTTGCGACGTCCCTCGGCAGCTCAGCTCCCCTACCCCGCACACGACGTTGGGACGGCCCTGGGCCTGGCGCCCCACTGGCGACTCGCCCATCGTTCTTTTCGCCTGAACGCCCACCCAGCTTGATGAACACGTCGACACCTTCGTGCACGTCTCCGCGTCGTCTGAGTGGGTTATGCTTCGCGGCATGCACCGATTTTCTCGGCATTTTGTCAGACTGCACGTGCCTGAGCTTCCCTGGATGCCCCCAGCTGTCATTCTCCCGCGCAGCCCCGCTGCTGCTTGGTGAGTGGGCCGGCCGGCCTGCGGCGCGTCTTGTAGCTAATCCCACTAGCCCTTTGGGCGTGAGTGGTTTAGAGAGCCCGCTCTGTCCTCAACCCCCTATCTTCCCCTTCGGGGAGGGGTTTACCCCTCCCCCTACCCCCTCCTCCTGGACCTGGAGAGGGAGTCCCGAGCGTCGTCAGGGGAGTCGTTTTCGACTCCTCGGAGGGCCAAAAAACGACGACCCTCACAAGGATTCTGGCCCCGAGGGGGGGAGGCAGTTTGGCCCCTCTGCTCGTCTTTGAAGCAGAAATCATTGATTGTACGAGGGTTTTGGCCCCATTTTGGCCTTCTGAGGGGGCCGCGCTCATCTTCCCTCATAGCAAAATCATTGATTTTACGAAGGTTTTGGGTTCATTTTGTCCTTCTCAGGGGGCAGCTCTCCTTTGCGCTTCTGCGGAGGTCGCAAGAGGCCCCAAGATGGCCCCAAGAGGCCCCCAGGAGGCTCCCAAGAGGCCTCCAAGAGGCTCCCCAGAGGCCCCCAAGCGGCCCCAAGAGGCCCCCAAGAGGCCCCCAAGAGGCCCCCAAGAGGCCCCACGAGGCCCCAAGAGGCGCCCAAGAGGCCCCAAGAGGCCCCAAGAGGCACCACGAGGCCTCCATGAGGCCCCCGAGATACCCCCAAGAGGCCCCCAAGAGGCCCCACGAGGCGCCGAAGACGCCCCAAGAGGCCTCCGACTCACATCACGAGGAGCCCGAACGACTCACACCACGACGCGGGCCTCGAACGACTCACACCACGAAGAGCCCGAACGACCGAACGAACTCACACCACAATCCGCTGCACGGAGTGGGCGCATCAACCCATGACCAGGCGCCCGACCGACTCAACCACGAAGTAGCCCGAAGGACGCACACCCCACACCAACACGCGGGCCCCGAACGACTACAACACCACAGGAGCCCGAACGAGTCACCCAGGAGGAGTGTCCCCGAACGTGTCCACACCAGGATGAGGCCCGAACAATCACCCAGCGAGAGCCTCGACTGACTCACACACACTTAGGACGAGAGCCCCGAACGACTCAAACCACGAGAGCCGAACGACTCACACCAGAGAGAATGTGGCCGACGACTCTCACACCAGGACGAGTACACCCAAACTCACAAACCTCATATCACGAGGAGCGCTTTCTCTCCCTCCTCCTCCGCCTCGTCCTTCTCCCGCTCCCCCCACAAGGAGGATGTACAAGGAGGCGGGAGGAAGGAGGAACAGGGGAGATATGCGGGGCCAAGCGGACACACGCCTGAAAAACACGACTGTCGGCATGCTTCGCGAGAGTTGCTGCTGTGAGATGGGCTGGTGGGGATACGCGAAGCGTAAAGAATTCGGTTTGTTCGTAGGCCCAGACAACTTCTCTCGCCGATTGCGCTCTTCGCTGGTGGCCGCGACCAAAAAAATAGGTCGCCTGAGTAGGTGTTGCGATGTTATACCCCCTTTTATGCGGATGTCCTTGTCCTTGTCCGATGCTCCGCCTTCAGATGCTGCACCTGCGCCGCCTTCCGCAGCTGCCGTTTCGGCGCCTCGGCGCCGTTCAGCGCCACCGCGTCGGCCTTCGTGGGCCCCATCTGCTCCGCCGCCGACGCGGCGCAAGGAGCACGCGCCTCTGCGCCATCCGCCAGGGCCGCCCGCAGGGAAGGCCTGGCCGCTCGGCCGCGGGTTGCGCCGCTCGAGCACGAGCGGCCGACGCACCGGGCGGCCCGGGCCGAGAGAAGCAGAGGCCTTGGCCACCGCGGAGCGCCAAGAGACCGTGGCCTCGTCAGTACGGGGTACGGGTCTACGCAAAATCTTGCGCCACAATGGCTGCGGAAGGAGGAGGGGGAGGAGGAGGAGGAGGAGGAGGAGGAGGAGGAGGAGGAGGAGGAGGAGGAGGAGGAGGAGGAGGAGGAGGAAGAGGAGGAGGAGCAGCCAGGATCAGAAGGAACCAGGATCAGGAGAGGAGCCGCGGTGAGAGCGGAAGTGTGATGGAAGTGCATTTGCGCAGACGGAGTGTCGAGGCATGGGCCGGAAGGCGGTGCGCTATGACTCAATAGCTTACCTTGATCCTCGGCATGAGTGAGTGGTCGGCACTGCAGCGGCGCAAGCTGTACGGACTGGTCACGTCACGGGAACATGGCACACAGCGCAACACGGGATGTGGATTCCTCTCCCCTCGGCAGCGTTTGCAGCAGATGCCAAGACACGCTTGCCCGCGCGCGCCTCGGCCTACACACCGCCCGATCACGACTAGCTCCGTGATCCGAGCGCACATCACCCCCGGCAGCGCCTCGAGAAACGTCCCTTGATGGCAGCGACGACGACCGCGAGATCCAGCTGCCGACAAGAGCAACACAACATTTTTTTACCAGCGCGAGAGGGTCGCCCCGTGGCTAAGGAAGAGAGAGGAGAGCAGCAGGGGAAGGGAGGGGAAAAAGAGAAGGCAGCAGCAAAAGCAGCAGTGCTGAGGCACGAGGTGCCGAAGGCCCACCGCATCCGACCCCCCCCCCCAAGGGAGGCGTCGGGCGCGAGGCCGTGCCCCCCCCGGGCGGATCCTCCCCGAGCGGGCACACGAGCAGCAGGAACTCGCAGCACTCGCTCGGGGGCAGGTCGTAGACGCCTCTGTCTCTCAGCTCCCGCCCTCTCTGAAGGGGCCCCAGGACACACAAAAAAGTACACACAAATAAATTAAGTCCCAATATTTTCTTATATTTTCTGGGTTGTTGTCTTCCCCCCACTTCCCATATTTTCCCATATTTTCTGGGGAATCGACGATTAATTGTGTCTGTGTGTTTCTTTCCCTCCTGACTCTCTTCCATTCGCTTCCTCCCTCTTTCATTAGCAGAAGAAGGCGAGGAAGAATAATAATAATAATAACCACTAAAAACGAAATACTTTTGGCGCGCCGCGCAGAGTTCTTGGATCTGCGCTGGGCCCCCTCCGTGGCGGGCGGAGCGCGCCAGGGGCGGCGCCAGAGGCGCCGCCGGGGGGACCCAGCGCGGATCAAAAAAATCCGCGCGGAGCGCCGAAAATTCATGTTTATGCAATTTTGTTCTTCTTCGAT